TTCACTGATCTGGCTTTCCGTTGATTTACTCTAAGGGCCTTTAGTATCAGTGCTAGTGGATTTATGTCCAGGATTGGAACATAAATCGGAAAGTGTGGGACTACCAAGGAAAGTGTGGTGACTTGAGGAAAGAAAAAATTTAATGAAAATTCTCAACACTTTCCGTTTCTCTAGTGTGAAAATATGGAACTAACACTTTTAAACCCCCAATGACACAACCCCCCAATTCATAAGAAAAAATGACTTTTAGAAAGTCTAGTGGAAAATTTTGTATGTATGGAAAAACCGACGCTCCCCCTCAGTTCTGAAGATACAGCCCTCCAATACGTCAGCTGCTGCATTCCATTCTGAAAAGAGCCATTCTACTGATTGGAGACGTGAACATCACTTGCAACCTTGATAGTCAGGAACATCGAATAAAGGTTGGAGATTTGTCTCTCTTCTATAGATACTTTCACGGAAAGTGTTCAAGTAACTTATCATATTTGAATCCACCAAGAGAGGTACTTATTCCCGAATTTATTTAATCCAATTCACATCCAATGTGAATCGCTGTTTTCGCACAGGCACCGATTTTAGAGCATCTTAAGGGTGTTCCTATAGTGCTTATGTTTTGTTTTTGGAAAAAAATATTTAAGTACGCCCAGATTTTTCTAAATCGGTGGTTGCAGCCTATTCAAAATGTTCCTTCAAATCCACTCATGGATCCACATACTATCGATCCCATAAATGGCATCACCATAAGGGGACATGTCATCGTCTATAGGTAGTTATTCTCGTGTTAGAATTCCTCATAAATACCATTATCTTTACTCAGACGAAATATGCCAAATTATAATTTCAGATTTTTTCAAACTCAGTATTAGTACCTACCAAATAGCAAAATGGTTCAGTAAGGACTTCAGAGACTTGTCTATTGTTGAACCAGGTTTTAGTATGAAAAACTTCTTAGAGTTCATACAACATACAAAAACCATTGTTCTGCAAGAAGGTGAGATTTTCGTTTCCTCAGGGAATTACTAGAGAAAATTAATTTCAATAATAACGAAATTGATGTATTCGTTTCTCTCACTAATTTGTATATGAAACAAAACCGGTTCCAGGTAAAAGCTTGCTTTTATGAACAATACGGGGGAACGACTTTGGGTAACCCCTTGTCCCCCTGCCTAGCAAACCTGTTCATGAGCAGATTCGAAACAAAAACCAAAGAAAAGTCAAAGTATTTTCCTAGGATGTGGATGATGTTTTTGCGATATTCGATAACAAAAAATTGAATATTGAGGACTTTGTTTCCTTTTTAAACAACAGAATTCCATCAATAAAATTCACGTATGAGTTAGAAAATAAAGGACAACTTTTATTTCTTGACTTTTGGTAATGACGTACCAATATGGAGGACTAGAATACGATGTATTAAAAAAAAACAAACACGTACAGATATATTCCTGACTGTTCACATCACTGTGAACAGCACAGTCTTTAGACTTTTCCTCTCACACATGAGAGATTCATAAAAGAAAAACTTACAATACAGGAAATAGCAGCGACTAACCGTTTCTAGAGGGGTATTGTAGATGACATAATAAGGAAGAAGAAGTTTAGGTTAAGAATGAACGAAATCTCGACTTTTAGAACCGACAAAAACCAAGATAAATATATCTCAGTTCCATACCACCAATACACGAAGAACTTTGGAAAGATTTTCAAGGAACTAGATATGAAGGTGGTTTTTAAAAAAGTCATACACTACAGAGCCTCTCAGGAAATCCAAAAGAGAAAGTCGAGAATTCGGAAAAGTCTGGAATTTACGAAATCAAATGTAAAGACTGCGATGCAAAATATTATGGACAGACAAAAAGATCTATAAAAATTAGATATAAGGAACGTCTAGCACTCTCAAGACATGGAAGATCAAAAATCAGCAGTCGCCAATCATATTTGTCAACAAAACCATTCCATACACTTCAGTTTATCAAGATTAGTTAAACAAGTTAACAACAACAGGCATCTAGATGTCTATGAAAATTTAAAAATAAGTAAACATAATAATAGGATGAATAACGATGGTGGACCAATACCTAATAATTAGTTTATTGGGAGGAGGGGGAAGGTCAAAAAATATTTATTTATCTATCAATTTCTATTTTGTCTTCTACTAAGTAGTTCCCCTAAAATATACAAAACTTGTGCCAGCGTTTTTTCCAATCCTCAAAGCAGTTCTGATATGCACTTTATGTATGTACTAGAGCTTCTCAGCAATTCGTTGTTTATCTCCTCAATAGCCGCAGAACGCCGTCCTTTCGTAGGTCTCTTCAATCTGGGGAACAGGACAGAAGCGCAGGGGGTCAAATCTGGTGAATACGGTGGCTGAGGCATGATTGCGGTGTTGTTTTTGGCCGAGAAATTACGAATAAACAATGACGATTGAGCAGGTTCATTGCTTCTCGCAAGTAGTGTAATACTTTTGACAGTACGACCGATATGTCGATATTCTCAGCAACTTCTCTAATAGTGATTTGACGATTCTCCAAAATAAACTCCACTTTCTCAACATTTTCATCGTTTGTTTATTTGCTGGGGCGTCCATTGTGAGCGTCGTGATTTACATCTTCTCGACTTTCTTTGAAAAGCTATTACCACTTGTGAACATGTTTCTGTACAATCGCTGTATGCTACTGTCAACATTTCAAGTATTTATGAGCACTTCCATTTTGTACAGAAAAATTGATGTAAGTCTTTTAATCCATTTTTTTCCACGACAGAAAATCGCCAAACACGCAAAACGCTTCTAACTTTTATGCCTCTAGCCAACAAATTAAACATGTTGAACAGCAGAAACTGTGAACATATGTTCAAGACGTGTAAACCAATATAAAAAAAAACTGGAGAAATGCCAATCGAATCAACGTAGCCTGGGAAATTTGAACATTCATCTTATTTTTTGAATAGTCCACGTACCTTTATCCCTGAGACTATCACTTCATTTATTGTAATTTCTTTGTCAGAAATCGTTCAAAGTTTGATTCATACGAAAAGATACTGAACATTTATTATCAAAACCACTTGATATGAACTGAAATAAAAACAAAGTAGATTCAATTACGAATACTATTCATCACTGTTACTTCACTTGAAGTCATAAGTTTTATGTTCTTATAATTGGCGCATATAAATTCTTAAGAAAAATGCAATTCTGATGAAAAACAAAACCTTTGGAGTGCGGATTTTCCCCTCAACACGTCAGCTATTCAACATAGTGAAATTGGTACAAAAATCACAGAGAATTATCCTCGCTGTGCTGGTACTACTCGTGGACCCATAAATTTTATTTCTGGTATTTCTGGTATCCATTCAGTCGAGGAATCGGCGAGTTTTTGATACCTCGGAAACTCACGAAAATCCGTTAGTTAGGGAAGCTAACTAACGACCCCTCTCGATATAGAAGGCCCCGACACTCAGTTGAATGAGGCCTTCATGTCCCCCGTTAAAGGACGAATAGATTTTCCATCCATCCCACCCCAGCCAGGTAGGGGTACCCCGTGAAGGGCAGTACTGATGTCTTAGGACTTCATACCACCAACATCCCCTCAGTCATGAACCCATTTGTCCTTCTTCGACAAAAATCAGCTAAAAGAGTAAGGGATCTGGGCTCCAATCTGAATGAACTCAAGACGACATGCAGGTTATTCAAATTCATTGGAAGGACCTTCGTACTTTCCATTACGAATTAGCTTATAACACTCTTTATCCATTGAAACTTCCTTGAGTCACTTTTTTTTCTTATTTCGACCTCCTTCATTTGCAATCTCTTTGAGATTCATCACTCTTTCCTTCATTTCAATGTCACTGACATTATCTTTTTTTTTTTCTAGGAGTATTGGTTCTAACAATTGCATGCTTTTTTCTGGAAGATTAGTTGCTGGTCTCTGTTGCACATTTGATATCGCTCATATCTGCGACATATCGTTTCAAATTGGATTCTGAAACTATCAATTTTTCAGATGTAACTGATCTTTCCACATTTAATGCTGATCCTATCTGCGCATCAGTTGTCACCGCTTTTTGAAGATTGCAATGTTTCGTTTTTGACATCTCCAATGACTCTTCCAATGTTCAAAATTACTGAATTGTATTTGGCCCTTTTACTCTAGTAATTTCCACATAGCAAAACTATATTTTCATTTGAGGTTAGAATCGCAAGACACGCGTGGCGAGTATTTAAAAACTTTTTTGCATATTATACAATAATTTACTAAAAAATTACTGGATTCTATCAAAAATGCAATCAAAATATGAGTATTACAAAACAGAATCGAATGGTATTTTAAAACTTTGGTAAGAATATGAGGCAGAGAGAGATATTTGAAACTTCGCCGAAGAACTGGAAAGTGAAAGTTCTGGTGAATTTGTAGATAACTTCACTTCGATCTATTCATCTATAATCTATATCTATTCATTTATAACTTATTCGACATAGACCATTACGCAAATGATTTCCATACCAACATTTTCCAGAACATTCATCTCATGAATATCGATTTTGTTCATTTATTTTTCGTGAGTTTCTTAGATATTATCTTAAAAATACAAGGAATATGTAATTACAACTTCAATTTTTGACTCAGCAAACAACAAAAACTACAAAACGTCAAAACTATGAAAATAGCAAAATTTTTGAAAATTGACTCCGAGTTTGGGATTAGCGACACAGAAAAAAACTAGAATCTGATGCCACTTTTCTTCGTAGTCACGAATTATTCATGATAAAATATTATAAAAAAGCAAATGAAAATTCTAGCTTACAAAGATTTTTTTGTTTTATAACTAACACACCATACGAAAACAATTTAACCAAATACTACTGTGTAAGACAGCTGAATCAGAAACTCTTTTATTCTGAATATTTATATTTGTATCTCATCTCAACGCGGTTATCTAGATTGCTTCAATGTCAAATTTTCCAATTCAATGGTAATTTTATACCCAATCATTTTTTCCAGCTCTTTGGACAATATTTGCAATGACGGTGGAAATGGGAAAATCCACTAAAGGGAATCACATTAATGGCATGGGAGTGTATACGATTTATGGTAGGTAAATAATAATTATTTTTGTTTCCTAACTCAATAAGTTCATGAATGCCAGAAAAAAAACTCTTCGAAAAAATGTGTAAAATAATGATTTTTTTCATACACAAACGAAAATAAATGGCCATCTGGAATGACTTTTTCATGTGAATTACTTTGAAGTAATTTTTTTTCAATTTATACATCTCATACTCATAATAAAACCTCGAATAGTTATCATATACAGCGTGACTCACGGTCGATGATAGGTTAGACGTTTCTGGAAAACGCAAACCATGATTTTTCTGAAAATTTCACCTCTCACATTTCCTTACCTGTTCTATCGATCTAAAATATTTTCAGCATTGTGGTGTTGCCGCTTCTATCAAAAAGTCCTAGAAATTATATTTTTTTAAATGTATATTAATACATTTTTTGAATTGCTCTAGTATTTCAATACTTTTTTGTTAATAATGTCCTATACCTATCTCTATCTGTTTTCGAGATAAAAAATAAATTGTGCTAAATATGGTCCAAAACATAGCTTTAATTGAAATTAAGTACATCAGTACTCTCAATTCATGAAAAGTTTATGTTTTGATGATACTTTGGACAAACTCGAAATATTCAAATAACACCAAGAAATCGACTCCATATCATACAGGGCGTGCTAAAATTACTATTATTTCCATTGTGCATAAAAGTACTTGAGAGTTCATTTTTTTCAAATGAATTCCCCTGTATATTACTTGATAAATTGAAAGATGGTGAAAAATGCTTCAAGATGATATACATGTCCCTATACCTAAATCGTCAAGTTTTCTAAATGAAGCCGTTTTTTGGAAAAATAGTTATTCACGTTTTACCTATAAGTGTTGAAAGTGGAATTTATTTTGTGAGTGGGGATTATTGCAAAACGAGCGTCAGCAAGTGGAGCAAACTCACGAGCAAAATAAAATCACTTTTAACAAATGTATCATACAAATTTTTTTGTATAACGTTACTGCTGATAATAAAAAAATTATAGGCTCCATGGAATTTGAACACACAATCTTTGGATTACAAAGCATATGTTACAACTACATACGCCAACTCACGTTATTTTAAGGAGGATTATTGGTTAGTCATGAAGGACTTTTGTACAGTTGGACTGAATACTACTTCGTCATCGTCAGTAACTTCACAGGGATTTAATATTACCAATAGCACGAACTGCATGTGTGAACTTTTCTAAATGATTTTTTGGTAGGTGTTCTGATCGAAGTGTTTCTATCAAAGAGATTTTCAATAACAGTTGTACAAAAAATAATTTTAAAAAAATTTGATTTCTAGGAAATGGTGGAAATATCAAGCTTATGACAGTTTAGTGACTTTTATAAGTAAATGATGAATGGTTATTGACGGTGTTTCAAAAAATTGCCAAAAATGAATGCAAATATTGATTATTCAAACGAAGTTCTTATGAAATTATTTATACACGGACAGTGTGATCAAATCATTGCCAGAACTAACAATGGAAATAATAGTAATTTTAGCACGCCCTGTATGATATGGAGTCGATTTCTTGGTTTGGTGTTATTTGAATATTTTGAGTTTGTCCAAACTATCATCAAAACATCAACTTTTCATGAATTGAGAGTACTGATGTACTTAATTTCAATTAAGGCTATGTTTTGGACCATATTTAGCACAATTTATTTTTTATCTCGAAAACAGATGGAGATAGGTATAGGACATTACTCACAAAAAAGTATTAAAATACCAGAGCGATTCCAAAAATGTATTAATATACAGGGTGTTCCATTTAAAAAAATAAAGTTGGTAAGACTTTTTGATGGAAGTGGCAACGCCGCAATGCTGAAAATATTTCAGATCGATAGAACAGGTAAGGAAATGTGAGAGGTGGAATTTTCAGAAAAATCATGCTTTGTGTTTTCCAGAAACGTCTAACCTACCATCGATCGTGAGTCACGCTGTATATGAAAAACGCTATATAACAGAGTGGTAAAATAAAGGTTAATTTATGAAAATGAATTTGACTTTCAAATTGAACTCAGGGATTACCTTTTCTATTTTTTCCTAACTCACATTTCAAATCAGTTAATACTGTCAGAAATAATATAAAAAAATGTCAGCAACCTTCAAACATTGTTCGACAGTCTCTAAATTATTGTATAGTAATAACGGAAGCTGCTATCACTCACACTTGAATCGATAATAAAGTAATCAACAATGGTTTAATAAGGTCAAGAGAACAAATCATGTACTTCTTAAATAGCATGATAATATGATATATCAAAATACATCAAAGTTGTATGTTCATTCGAAAGATTTTTATTTTCGGCTCCTTTGATGAACACTCCTTCTATCCGATTTTTAACTTCTCATGAAAAATGACGAACCATCGACCTTCGAATAAGTTTTGATCAATACCTTATTCATTGCTGCTTTGTTTTTGAGAATATTTCCACCTGTTTAGAATGGTGTTCCCCGCAAAAAAATCGCTAACAACTGATCACGCGAAAACACCAACAATTGGTCGCCACTACAGGTTGAGTCGCTACAGGTGGCCAGCAAAATGCGACCACTCACACATTTGGATCATATGCCAAGAACTTCGAGCATTTCACCAGCCTCATTAAAATCGTCGAATTGGACAAGAACGATAATATGCCAGTATGGACATAATATTCTTGAATATAAACACCTATAAACCTATAAACACTGCTTGAAAAACACATATTTTAGCTCTCATAACAGACTTTATGGACAGAAAGAATGTGCTCCGATGGGTTCCGCATTGTAACTTGTCACTTGTCTTCAAAACTAAGATTCTGAACTACACCCCGAAAAAAACCAAATTATAACTGAGATATGTCGACGACATTTCATCATTTGGCGTCATGGATATGAAGAACTTCACCATTTCGTGACATACCTGAACTCAACCCACGGGAAAATCCAGTTTACTTTAGAGATGGAAAAAATCAACTAGTTACCTTTCTTGGATGTATCAGTTAGAAGAGAACTCAATGGGGAAATTCAGTCTACACTGAACCAACACATATACTAACAGATACCTAAAAGCACATATCCAATCGCCTAACAGACCAAGACACACAGGAACAAGAAATGGAAGACGAGAAGCTCTTCAGCAGAATAGATATAAAAATCATACAATTAACGAAGCAACACACAGAAGATAGAAGGAAAACAATGAAAAACGAACACGGAAGAAACTGAAGCCATCCTGCCCTACGTCAGAGATGTTACAAATAAAAGAGGAAGAATTTGAAAATCATCAGACATTTTTTGAATAATCCAAAAAGAAAAATCAACCTAAAGAGCAAAGGCAAATATAAGACCGCATGTTTTGATTGCAGCGGAAAATAGGTCGGCCAAACGAATAAGCGAATATCAGTCAGATTAGAGGAACACAAATTCCAAATTCACAACAAACAAACAACCACAGCTCTATACAAACACATCTGAAGAAATGAACTTTAAACGTTCAAGCCAGTCTCGTTATACCTACACAGTAGGTTGAATGGACTTACGCCTATCAGAAAACAACTGCTCCCCTGGTTAATACCACGAAGGGCGCTGAATTATATCCGACAGGCGTCAGTGCGGGAATCTTCACAGAAAAATTCCTGCATATGCAATTGGCAATACAACTGAAAGAGACGACTTTCAATTTTGAAACGGGCACACTTGCAGATCGGTTTCGGGCTCATTAGCCACTCGTCAGTGCAAGATAGTGACGATCATCGACCAAAAGTCAATGATATTCCATAATTGAAAATATACATTCTACATTGAACCTACTATGAAGGTATATCGAGACTGCCTTGAACGTTTAATTTTCATTTCTTTAGATTTGTTTTCTGCCAGTCTTCAAGCATAGCCCACTGACTGTACAAACACCACGTTGATAAAAGTCAGAACATCGACTTCAAAACTGCAATCAGATTGCAACTTTGGAGTTTTTGTATGTGTACTGCGTGAAAAGTCTTCAATGCAAATCCAATATACTCTATATGAAAACCTTTATCAACTCAGAATCAGGATACAAACATGGATCTTCCATTCAAGTCAAGATTTTGTGTCGTAACAACGACTGTGTGGCGTTATGGTGGAAAAAAATCAGAAACTAAAAATTCAAAAATAAAACAAGTAAAAAAATGTTGAACGGTTTTATTGAAAAATGTACTGAAAACTAAAAAATTATTCGGAAGGTCCTAGGTAGCAGTCATCACACCACTCTCCTCAGCAATCTATGATATTGATAACATAAAAAAAAATAAAATCGTTGGGCGTAGTATTAACATATTTACTCAGGTTACACTACGCTCACCGATTTCATTATTTTTCCATCTGATCAATATTGTAGATTGCTGAGGAGTGTGGTGTGATGACTGCTACCTAGGACCTTTCAAATAATTTTTTAGTTTTAAGTACCGTTTAACATAAACATTTCATTTACTTATTTCATTAACTGATTCAGTTTCGTGTAATTTTGACTCTAAATCTCAAAAGAAAATCCAGAAAAAATTATGATAGTACTTGTATACCATTGATTGAATAACTTGGCAACCCGATTTCTGAATTAATTATTTTTATAAATGAAGGTCATAAAGTAATTTTCAAATACTTCACCACCACATTTCACAAGACAGACAATGATTATCTGAATCTTTTGACAATCAAATATCACATTAGAAAATCGGAATCGGCGTTCCTCGGGGATCCGTTCTAGGTCCTTCACTGTTCATAATTTACATCAAAGATTCATTCGGTTCTGCAGATGGCATTTAGATGAATGTCGATAGAATAAATGTGGAAATTATATTCAAACCAACTGAGGGTAAAGTGTTTGGATAATGGTTGATTTTTTGTTATAAATATCGCAGGTTATCATTATCGTTTTATGCTATGATTCATATGAAATGAGTTCAGTTTGTTGAGTTTGTACTGTCCTGGTATAATATTTTCAATATTTTGAATTCTATTCATATTGCTAAGTTGATTCCATTGTCTTGTGGCTGGTATAATGTTTTCAATATTTTTATTTCTATTCATATTGCTAAGTTGATTCCACTGTCTTTCCGCCTTCCAAAAAATTATCAAAATATGTTTAGGATAATTCAGTTATGAAATTATGAAAGATTTTTTTAATTTTCAGAGCCACATAAAGTTGAATCTCAATTAAAAGAACAATTCAAGGAGTCTTTGAGGTCGATACAAATCGAAAAACAACGATTGGTACAGGAGAAGTGGTACGCTATAACCATACAAGTTTGCATTCCATTTTTCATTGCTGGTATTGGTACTATTGGAGCTGGACTCGTAATGTCCTCTGTAACAGTATGTGCAATTATATCATTTCACAGGTTAAAGTTACGCCTGAATATGTATTTATGAAAGAATAGTGAATTCAATTTCATTAGTGTTTACTTTTTATTTTCAGAAATATAAGGTTTTTGAAGAAGTTAAAGCCCTGTATGTTCTAGTACCAGCTCTACTTGGACTTAAAGGTAATTTAGATATGTGTCTTGCATCAAGACTTTCAACCCAAGCAAATTTGGGTACTATGGATATTAAAACAGAATTGTACAGCATGATAGTAGGAAATATTACTCTAGTGCAGGTGAGTTCATTATTAATTCAGTAGAAAGCAAACTAATAAATATCTTATACATGAATTCATAAAAATTCGACAAATGACGGATCATGAAAACCTCTGAATATTGAAAGAAAGCAGTAAAATGAATACTTGTCCACTCAGCTCAATCGAAAAAAATGATCCAACCACTTCTGATTTAGAATACACCTCTCATACCGAACCAGTTGAAACGTAATTCATAACTACTTAGAAACTACCTGAAACTTTCTTGGTTAACAGTAACAAGACCAACACAGAAAACTAGACTGATGACCACAATATTAGCCCATTCAATTTTTTTGACAAATCTTTCAATCTGAATAATGAACAGGACAAAAATTCAATTTTCTTTTCTAGATTCAGGCGATAGTATGTTCCTGTATAGTATCTGTATTTGCAGTTGTAGCATCTGCACTAGTCAACCATAATTTTGAATGGATGCATACGTTACTATTGGCTACGGCCAGCACACTGACGGCTACGTTATCTTGCTTCATTTTGGGTGAGTTTATCTTGCTGAAACGAGCTAATGTTTTCTGCTATTATTATTATTGATAAAGTGGAAGATTTGATATTTCTCCATGGTTTTGATTCCTGAAAAAAAATTTACTTACTTACATGTGGGAGTTGTAAAAATAAAAGGATTTGGAAAAGCTGAATACACTTATTTGAATCAATGAATCGAAGAGGTTTTGTATTAAAGTGTATAATATTTTAAAATTCGACGAAAGTCAAAAGCGCTTTGCAAGAACTTTCAAATATTATACACTTTAATACAAAACATCTTCGATTCATTAGTTGTAAAAATAATTCATGAAATGAAAATCAGAGCATGAATACAACATGCCAACCCTAGCCAGCTCACTCTCCGTCAGTGCGTTCTTCATCATAGATATATGGTTGAATGGAAGAAGTTATATAATTCCTCCAAGTTTATTTTGATCACAAATAAATACTAAGAATCTTCCTTTGGAAAATCCAAGACTTCAAACCTCTGCACTGTATCAGACCACAGTAAAAAACTCTCATTCATACGTTGGCCTGTGAAAACTATAGTAGTATGAAAGAAAAAACGTTTTTCTAACCCCCAATTTTCAATTGATATGAATAGCACTCCTTCAAATAAATGTTTTGTTCATCTTCAATACAATTAACTACAGGCCCATTAGTTTTTTATCTGTACCTTCCAAAGTGATGGAATCCATCATCGTAGAAGATATGTCAGAATTTTTAACAAAAAATGCAATCATACCACCAGAACAACATGGTTTCGTCAAAGGTAGATCAACCACCAGCAATCTACTACAATGCATGAACGATTGGACGACAGCTTACGATAAGAAAATACCGACAGATATCGTTTATCTTGACTTTGCTAAGGCTTTTGACAGGGTACCAGTGAGGAGGCTAATGCACGAACTTGGCACGAACTTGGTATTCGAGGCCAACTAAACCTATGGATTGAAAATTACATGACAGATAGAACTTTCTCGGTCAAAGTGGGTCACTCTTTTTCTTCGCACAGACAAGTCACAAGTGGAGTTCCCCAGGGATCTGTTCTTGGCCCGCTCCTCTTCGTTGTTCACGCAAGTGATCTTGCTCTTCACATAAAGTCCAGCAAGTCGTTTTATGACGATGATACTAAACTGTATGGAAATGCCTTAGTCGAACATCATTCCCTTCAAGAAAACCTTAACTCGATTAGTCAATGGTGCAAGGATTGGCTCCTACCACTTAACGTCGACAAATGCGTCGTACTTCATCAAGGAAAGAACAGTCCACTCCAAAGGTACACAATAAGCGGCCAATCGTTACGTACAATATCCTCACATGAAGACTTGGGAGTGACTATTAATACCGACCTTACTCGGTCCGAACATATAATATCCACATGCAAACGCACAAAGACACTGATTTACCACATCCGCAAAACGTTCCTCCATCGATCATATTCAAGTTCCATAAAACTCTACAAAACCCACGTTCGTCCAATCTTGGAATATGCAGGTCCAGTGTGATGTCCTGTTCTGGTGCGCGATTGGGACTTGTTGGAAAATGTACAGCGTCGAGCCACACGTATGTGTGGCGTCTTGGTGAAGTGCGTCCAACCTATCCCGAAAGACTGAGGATGGCACAACTGCTAGCTTTTGACCAACGTCGACTCCGTGGGGACCTCATCATTTCTTTCCGTATAGCTAAGTATAACTATGCTAATCAGAAAGAACTTTTTGTTTTCAACAATGATTCGCGGTTACGTGGTCACGCACTCAAATTAAAAAAGGAAAAATTCGCAACGAGGCAGAGACAATATTTTTTGGTGAATCGTATTTTCGAAACATGGAATAACTTACCCAAAGATGTTATGAATTCCGACTCAGTGAACAGTTTCAAAAACAAAATAGACATTTGCTTATTAATTATTTTTCTTTTCTTTTTACATGCATTGTATTAATTTGTTGATATCCTTCATTTTTAGGCTTACATAGGACTTTGTCCTCAGACTTTATTTATATGTAATAATAATAATAATCTAATAATCAATTTGTCAGATAGTTGGAAAGATTGTAGCTATTATTTACCGTAGCAGAATAAAAAACAATAAATCCATGCAAGAAGTTCTTGGAAACCATCAGTATAAAACTAGATACGAAAAAACTTGATTTACCCACCTCAAAAACCAAAAAAGAATGAAGCGTATCATAATAAACTCTTGAAAAAATAGTGTACACAAAAAAGTAAGTATCCAGCTTTGGTTCAATTTCCAACGGATGCTGCTCTTAATAAGATTCTACACATTTTTGTGATTGCCTATTGCAATCCAAAAGAAACAACTTTGTTGGAGCCAGCGTATTGAACCAAATGTTTTTTATTGAAAGCGCCAAACAGCCACAGCAGTTGAGTAGGAAGACACTTCCTGATTGAGAAGAATGCGGCTGTGGAGAGGTACATGGTGGAAGTTATGGAATCTTTGGAGGATCTAAGGTTGACATATCAGATTGATTGGATAATTTGGAGAATACTCGCAATCTAAGTAATATCACCTGTACAGTTTCAAAGAGAAAAAGATATCAAGACTCAATTTCAGAGGAATGTCATAATACTACAATCAAAGATTTTGTCAAATCCATCTCAATTCATATGAAGAGGATAGCTGAGGAGGTTATGACTTCCAGGTTGATTCAGAAAGACAGCAAAGTATTTTTGGTGGAGGAATGATTTAAGTGGAAGAGGGATACTACGAAAAACATTTCAAAACCATAATATTGATGAATACAAATTTATTTCATCTATACAGCATTTTTGAAATCTCGATAAAATGATTGAAGAGGACTGACACCGAAGCGTTATATGTTGCCCGTAGTTTTGTTGTAATTATACATTTTTTAAAAACTAGAATCACAAAATCACAAAATATTTTTTTTGTGAGTGGAATCGATCAATAAAAAAATTGATAATGTTCTGCACGATTATTTTTTCCAAGGACCTGAAATGCAAACTTGCAAATGTAAAACTACAAAAATTAGACACAAGAAAATGAGTTTTGTGAATTAAACAAATAAAGACTGTGAACAAAAAATGGATGGATTTTATTACTTCCACATATTGTTCAGTTGATTTCAGAATGGAAATAATTTTACAAGACAGGATTTGTATTTGGAATTCTGTGTAGATAGTATGGCAGATGGTCGGTCGAAACTAAAATTGAAAACCCGTTAAAAATATTCGTTCTTGCATCTACTGTTTCGTCGAAACATGTTTTCAAAGAGGAATCTTTCAGGATACGCAGAATTACCAAAAGCATGAAAGCGTTTAATAAGTAATTCAATATAAGATTGCACTGTTTTGATCAGCAATATAATAAAACGATTGAATTGAAACAGATTTTTTTCTTTATTCGCATTACCATTGTTAAGATATATTTCTGTTACAAATGCTTTGTGAATTTTTAATGAAAAAGTAGTTTTCGTATGCAAAGTTATGTGACTTTGTCACATATGTCACATATGTGACTTTGTCACATAACTTTGCATTTACTTACTTCTGATCCCAACAACAATCTGTCTTTACAGTATAACATTCTTCTTTGTTTAATTTTTCAACTCTTTTGATTTATTGAAGAATACTGAAGCATTGCCTTGTTGAAGATTGACATCACGATACCTACAGAAGTCAGATCGTCACGTTTAGATGCAGCTCATTGTAAGGGGGCACAGGACATGTCTATATTGCTGGTTTTTGTTTGAATAGTTATGACAATGCCAAAGGCGAAGAAAGTCTGCACTTCAGAGGGTATCAAAATGGTCAGAAAACAAGGGACTTGCACTAGCCGCAGAAATAACAGTAGCTGCCTTCCTAACAACAACAAAAAAATCCTATTCTATTTGATGTACCTATATGGTATTGTGGTGCTTTCAAAAAAAGCAGTGAAATACCTAGGAATCTAGATGGATACTGAGCTGACCTTCGCTGAACACATCGGAAGAGTTTCGCAAAAAGTGGAGAAAATGGCATTGTTCTTCCCTATTCCAAATATGAGTAGCTAGATCATCCAAAAGAAGAACATTATTAAGTATTGCCCAGTCTTAAATATCGAATGCTGCACCAGTCTCGAACACGGTGACCAGTAACAAAAAACTTGTTTTGAAACTTGCCAGCATCCAACGGATTAGGGTAAGCTCCACCTATAGAACAATATCTACAGATGCAGTAGGGGTTACAGCTGAAATACCCCCTATTGAACTCCTTATTGAAGAAAGGTGGGACATATATACAGGGAGTGATAGAATAACCGTAAGAAGCAACCTTATATCATGTTGGCGAAACTTGTGGACAAACGGAAAAACGGGGAGATGGACACATCAGTTGATACCAAACATAAGTAAGTGAACATGTAGACCATATGGTAAAGTGGACTATTTCAAGACACAAGCAATTTCTGGGCACGGCTGTCTCAGTAAATATTTGTTCAATCGACTGAGGTCGGGAAGTGACGTGGAGAGGTTTGTAGCCGGTAGAAATCCGTCACAACTTCCGATTATCTATCACCAGGGAACAAATGGTTTTGAAAAATGTTTCTAGAGTTTACAAATTGAAATATTTGAATATTTTTATGGAATTTTTTTTTTCAGATCTTGTTCTGGTCAGTGTTATTGTTATATCTCACAAGCTGAGGTTGAATCCTGACAATTTGGCTACGCCAATGGCTGCTAGCATTGGGGACGTGGTTTCTCTCATTGTTCTCTCAACTTGGGCAAAGTTATTATTCAAAATACATGGTGAGTAACACTGAATAGTTCACAAAACCGCAAAAAACGTATTTCACTATACAAAAGCTTCCTCATATGTGTTCTCACTCATGTGAATTTGTAAATGTTCGATAACAAGTTCATCTAGCTGCCTTACAGTGAAAGACAGGGAACGAACCTGTTTCGGTAGTCGATATCGAAGCTTATTTTTGCGACTGGCCGCCTTGAGGTACCTAGTTTATATTTGACATTCGTGGATGAGTTTTCTGTCGATTACATCATAGATGACGTCTTCGTAGGAGGCGATGTTATCGCTCATACAAAATGTT